GCAATCTTGGCAGAACTAATTTACACAGATGACGACAGAAGGATTTTAATGGTGGAAATAATGGACAATAATGTTAAAACACTTTTAATTGCAATTTATGCTCCGAATGATAATCAAGAAGAATTTTACAGGAAATTACATATGAAAATAATTGAACAGGATTATGTTAATATTTGTATGATGGGAAATCTTAATGGAATAATTAATGATCGATTGGACTATAAAACACAGAAATTAACAAAGAAAGCTAGAGAGATACTACCAAAATCTTTCTTTCGAATAATAGAAGAATTTAACTTAAAAGATGCATGGAGAGAGAGAAATGTGGAAAGCAAGCAATACACTTTTTATTCAAACAGGTATGCATCATGGTCTAGAATAGACATGATATGAAAGTCAGCAGAATTACTGGCTAATATACGAGAGATTGAAATAGAAACAAGCACCTGGGCAGACCATAATCCTGTGACAGTTATTTGTAAAAGATATAAGAGGAGATCTAGATGGACTCTAAATAACACAATATTAAAAGAAAAAGATTTTAAACAGAAAATAGAGAAAGAACTTGCTTTCTTTTTAAAAGAAAATAGAAAAGAGGATACATCTTTACAGAATCTCTGGGACACGATGAAGGCCTACACAAGAGGCTTGATAATAGACTATACAAGGAAAAGAAATATAAAACAGAAAAAGACTTTCAAAACATTGGAGGATGATTATAAAAGATTGGAAAAAAATCTACAGAAGTTCCCGCAAAAAAAGACATTAAAAATAAAATAATTAAACATAAAATGGGACTAATGGAAAAAGAGGAACTAGCACAAAAAATTAATTAAAAATGCTAAACAGAATTACTTTGAAGATGCAAATAAACCAGGCAGATGGCTAGCCTATAAATTGAGAAAGGAGAGAGAATCAAGAAGAATTAGCCAACTAATAAATGAAGAAGGACATACATGTTATGGAAATGAGGAGAAGAAAAAAATTATACAAGATTACTATGGGAAATTGTATTTTCAAGAGAATATTCAAGAAGAAAAAGTTAAACAATATTTACAGAAAGCAAACTTACCCCATATACCTAAAGACATTGAAACAATGCTAGAAAGGAATATAATGATGATGGAATTAATAAAAGCCTTAAAAAAGCAGAATGTTGGAAAAGCACCAGGTCCAGATGGTTTGTCAGTGGAATTTTACAAGACTTTTCAGGAAATATTGAATCTTCACCTGTTAGAAGTCATGAACGAAGTTATGCTAAAGAAAAGAATACCCAAAACATGGACAGAAGCATATATTATACTTATACCGAAGGAGGATACAAACCTGCAGCAAGTTAAAAATTATAGACCCATATCCCTATTAAATTCAGACTATAAAATCTTTGCTTCAACTTTGGCAGAAAGACTAAAAAGATATTTAAATAGCTTTATCCATATTGATCAAAATGGATTTCTGCCAAAGAGACAAATCAAAGATAATGTGAGAATTATTCTGGATATTCCGGAATACTATGAGGTGCATCCTGAAAAGCAAATGGCCTTGATGTTCCTAGATGCATAAAAAGCCTTTGACAATGTGAGCTGGCAATTCATTTTATTTTAATTGATGCAAATGGGCTTTGGTAAAAAAATTATCTAAGCCATTGAAACGATATACCATGAACAAACTGCAAAGCTTATGGTAAATGGAGAACTAACAGAATCTATAGATATAAGAAAAGGGACAAGGCAAGGTTGTCCGCTGTCGCCTCTGCTGTTTGTGTTAACATTGGAAGTGTTGAATAGGAACATTAGAGAAGAAAAAGAAATGAAAGGAATGAAAATCAAAAAGGAAGAGTATAAATTGCAAGCCTTTGCAGATGACCTGGTATTTATATTAGAAGATCCATTGGAAACAGCACCTAAACTAATAGAAAAAATAGAAGAACATGGAAAAGTAGCAGGTTTGAAAATAAATAAAGATAAAACAAAGATATTAACAAAGAATATGTTAGTAAGACAAAAGAAAGAGCTGGAAGAAATTTTAGAAATACAGGTCACAAACAAGGTTAAGTATTTAGGGATATAAATTACACCAAGATGTAGCACACTGAAGGAGTATAAATATAATGATTTGAATTGAGATAATTAAAACAAAGTTGAGAAAATTAAAAGAGGGGAAAAATTATGTAGAAAATATAAAATGGTAATAAGATATGGAATAGAATATAAAAATGAGCATGAAGAGTTTTGTGTCTGTATGAAGAAGTGATAACCTGGGACCGTGCTATTTTCAAAAAAGATGTTTTATTTGTATTTTGTTTGTGTGAAAAGCCAAATAAAAATTTCAAAAAAAAAAGAAGCAGTAGACTATTGACTTTAGAAGGGTATGACTTGCTGTTGGGATGGCATGCTTTCCTTTGGTACAAGGGAACTAAAACACAGGGGTATTTTAGAAGACATTACATTCAAGAGGCATTGTTTTTGAATTGGAAGAAGATAAAAAGACAACACTATTTAAAAATTCCATTATAGATATCTACTATTGAAGCTTTTTCTTATCCAATAATATATAAAAAGGAACAAACAGATATGGTGAGATATTGAATGAAAAGGGTGAACTTAAATCTATGCAAGAGTTGGAAGAAAAAGGTGTAAAAATGACCTGGTTTTCATATTTGCAAATACAATCTAAATTTGACAAAGATATTAAAACAAGGTATTTATGCTAAAATTTTGGATACGGGATTGATTTAGAAAAATGGCAAAAATTGTGGTCTCAAAATTATAAAATGACAATGTCAACTGCATATAAAGAAAATTTGTATGTTTTACAGTTGGCATCTATCCCCGACGAGACTCACGAGAATGTTTAAGAATAAATCAGATAAATGTTGGAAATGTCATCAGATACCTGGTTCATATTACCATATGTGGTGGACATGCTCGGATGCAAAGAAATATTGTACTAAAATCCACACATGGTTGGAAAAAAATGATAAAACAACATAGACTTTAAACCAGAGATCTTTTTGTTGGGAATTATACCGGAAATATACAACAAAGAGTTGAAATATTTGATTGTAAATGTTTTAACAGCAGCTAGAATTGTATTTGCTAAGAATTGGAAAAATGATAAAATACCTATGCAGGAGGAAGTTATTAAGAAAATTATGGACTGTGCTAAAATGAGCAAATTGACATTTGAAATTAGAGAACAAGAAGATAAACAATTTTATATGATATGGGATTTGTTTTATCAATGGTTGGATAAAAAGACATGGTAATGTAATAGACTAGATAATTTTGTAATAGAAGTTTAAAAGATTGATATAAAATACAATATAAACATATATAACCATTGGATGAAAGTATAATCTAAATTTTGAAACAGAATTTGGAATATCTTGTATAAAATGATGGAATAAACAGTTTAGTCATGGATGATTAATAACTGATAAATATATAAACATATGCTAGTTTGACAATGTGAAAATTGATATAAACTAGGAGTAATGATTACAAAAGGATAGCACAAACTATTTGTAACCAACTGACACACTGTATGTATATAAAATGGAAGATGGATTTTATGTTTTGTTTGTATATGTTTGTCTTAAAAAATAAAAACGTGTGTGTGTGTGTGTGTGTATATACACACACACACGTTTTTATTTTTTAAGACAAACATATACAAACAAAACATAAAAGCCATCTTCCATTTTATATACATACCCGAACAAAGCCTATTTAAAGTTGTAGCAACGTTTCAGCAGAATCTCATCTGCCATCATCAGGCTTCTGTATAGTGTTCGTCTGTGAGTCAGACTTTTACAGTGGTTTAAGATTTAAATTTGGGGCAGCCTATTGCTGTGCCAGAATGGTTTTTTCTTCATCCTGATTGGTTGGGAGTCTTGGTCTGTGTTTATTGGTCTCAGAGTTTGCTGTGTTCTGCTTGATTGGTGTCTCTAATATCTTCTGTCTGTTTTTTGGCTCTTTTTGTATCTTGATTGGCTGGCAGCATTGTGTTACTTTATTGGAGGCCTTTAGTGCAGCTTGGCTTCGGGTAAATGGATGGCTATCATTAGTTAGGAAGCTGGGTTTCATCTGGGTGCCTGGTTGGGGTGTGTTTGAGCTGGAGGTATCAGGGGGGATCTGTTTGTGCCCAGGTGTTTGCCTGGCTTGTGGTGTGGAGATTTTTTTGTTTGTGAGTGCAGGCTTCCAAATGATTGACAGCCTGGTGGAATCATCTCTTCTATTCATGCTTTCAGGTCTTTTTTCAATCTCTATGGCTTCTCTGATGATTCTGTAGCTGGGGTTTTCTATAGTGGCTAGGGTTTTGGTGCCATTGAAGTTGATGCTATGACCTGTGGCTTTCATGTGTTGGACTAGTGAGGAAGTGTGTTCCAGCTTTTTTACTGCATTTTTGTGTTCATCCAGGCGGGTACTTCAGGCCCAGCCTCAGTACTGTGCTGAGTCCCACTGTTCAGGGTGGTCTAGATGGACAGGGGAGATAATTTTTATTTATTTATTTTTTCACATTTTTCAACCACCCATCTCCCTAAAAAAATTGTTTCTCTTTTGTTCAGTGGGAGGTTGTGTGACACACCAGGAGAATCAAGTTAGGCATTTTCTGAATTTTTGATGTGCCAAGTCCAAGTCATCACTGTCTTAGGAACCTAGCCAGAAACATTCTCTTTCCTTTTAAATGTATAATAATAATGATGCTGAATTCAAAGTATGTATTATACCATAGAAAATTTTCAAACAATGAGCAAAACAATGTAATATCAGCTCAGCGCTCTTATTTCAGATTAGTCAATATGCAGTGTAATGGTTTATGCAGAATCATCCTTGCTTACTTTACAAGTAGAAAATTACAATGCACAAAAAAGCTTTTGCTTTTCTCTGCTCAGTTGTCATACATTTTTAAATTGAGTCTTAAGAGTGAAAATCTATATCATGAAAAAGGGAAAGAAAAACTATTGAAAACACTATAAGATTTGTATTTACCTCTAGGTGGCAGAATTATTGCTTTGGTATGGAGCTGACCCACTGTTCAAGAATGAAAGAGGAAAGAATGCCTTAGAAGAAGCTACTGACAAGCATATGAGGAAACTAGTGGAAAGTTATATAGCTCATTCTGATAAAAGATCAGCATCAGGTAGGAAAGCGCTAGTATAACGTTAACTCTTGTAATACACAATTGAAAAAGAAAGGTTTGAAAAATAAATGTAAGTATGGATTTGTTCTAAAGTGATTTCCAAATAGAAACAATTTTTTTTTAAATAAAGCAATCAATTTAACCATCTCTACTTTTGTTCTTTTTGTGGGAAATAATATATATTTATGTTTATACTTATTAATATATTGTCATCATTTATATTAACAAAATTTACTAGTCTCAGGTTCTTTAACCTTAAAAGGGACAATTTTTAAAAATATCATTTTAAGATATTAATTTTAAGACTTTAAAATATTTCTAAAATCAATTGAACATAATTCAGTAACATTTTACAAACTGTAAGAATGACTCAAGCAGTGTGTGTGTATGTGTGTATATAAACATTTTTCATTTATAAGCACAAGACTATATTAGAGCTTTCTTTCAATTACGTACTATATATCAGACTTGTAAAAATCCATCTTAACTCCAATTAACTCATTTAAGTCATTCCCTTCAGGTTATCTTCATACAATAAAATCTTCTCTGTAATGTCTATCAAATCTATTTTTCTGAAAGAATTCTCAACCTTGTTAGTATCCATGAAGAAAAAGTCCCAAACTTGCCATCTTGAGAATTGTGTATTTCCTTGGAGCTCTTGTTTCAGTTGCGCTGAGAGGATTGTATTTAAACCATTGTCATGCTAAAGATTGGTGTCAGATTTGTATTCCAAAGATGTAGTTAAGTTCTTTACTGTCATTGCGTGATCACTGCTGTCGCCACAAGTGGCCCTATAGAAGCTGCGAGCGCCGCACGGCCGCGACCATCACTGCAATTGTTGTGCATGCACTTGCAGCTCCATTCGACTGTGACTAGAAAGAAGCACTTTTAGCTTGTAAAGATAATAATCCCATAAAATGATTAAGAAATTAAAGGCACGACTTATTGTCAGTTTGAAAAATAAATTCCAAAACAGCTACTTCTCAACCACTCTCCAGCAGAATGGCTCACTAGTTGCTTCAATACACAGCTCCTGAGGCTTCCTGCAGATTTTCTTCTTTATATTTTTATTTCCCATTTTTTTCTCTCTTTTTTTATATATATAGTATTCATTTGTATGTTTGTATTTTTAATACAAATATATATTTTTTAAAAACTTACAACAGGTAATAACTGTTATGGTGTCCCTGTTGCCAAATATCAAAATTGCCAGCCAGCCTGTATTTATAACTCATAGAATCCTGTGGTCACATTCTCCCATTCTGTACAAACTGTCTCTACTTCAATCCCGCCCCCCAGCTATTTCTCCTCATCTCCCCCCTTTTGTCCACCTTGCACAGTATGGCTGACATGAAGAGGCTGCTGAATTCTGCCACTCGTCAGCTAATTTTTTTTCTTCAGGCCTCTCTGATAGCAGCTGGCTTCAAGCTGCACATTAGGGGGCTCTGTTGGCCATACTGGGCAGGTCAACCCTGCCTCTCAATTCTGCCTTCCCCTCTAGTTGTAGAATGCTTCACTAGAAACCCTCAGCTGAGCACCATCTCCTAGTGCAGGCATGGCCCCTTATCACTGTTCAGAGAATACAAAATGGCAAGAGTGACCAATGGGTAGGGAGACTGTTCAGCTACTATTCCTAGTAAGATCTGACATCATTCTGGAGAAACGCTGTCTTGGCCATGGGATTGTGAGCTTAACCAGCCCTGCATAGTTAGTGCTATGGCTGCTCCATTATTTGCATTGTCAATGGAAATAATATCAAAGAAACAGTGGCATGATGGCCACCGTGACCAGAGTTCTTTACAGCATTACATCTTGTTCACCAATTGTAGCTATTGCTGATCACCAGTATTGTGCGTATTTGCTCATGCCTTTGTTGCTATGATGTTCAAGTAGGGTTGTCCTTAAAGACACATTATCCACATTTAGTCCACAAAATAAAAACCAGCTTAGCTGAATATGTCCTCATTCATATCTTGATACAGTATACAACTACAACAAATCGGCTATCCAATATAATTACATCTCCATGAATAATGATACTTTTAAGATATTAAATATAGCAATATTAAAGATGTTAAGTTTCTGGTAGTGAAAGACCTTTTTTTCTCTTTGGATGACAAAACAAGCATAAATGGTGAAAGGGGCAGAAAAAAAATCCACTTAACATTCATGTAAATATCTTCTCTTTCTTTAAACTAAAGCAATAATTTGGAATATTCCATATACTTCAGAGTAAATTTGTGAAATGACCAAAGAACATAGCTAATGAAAATTAGAAAGATACTTGATTATAAGTAATAATAATAATAATTATTACTATTTATTTAATAATTGGCTACTTAACTCCAATGGAATCTGCCTCATCAGAAAAGAAAGGTCATGAAAACTTTCAGTTAAAGATAGAAATCAATATATTGAATTCACATATGTCATTAAACTTTATTACAAGCTTTATCTTTTGTAATTGATTAAAAAATTAGCATAATTTGCATATTTTGTGCAAATATGTTAGGTTTGTTATAGCAGAGAGGAACCATGTGATATGAACTTTCTTTGTCTTAAAGCTGCTACTATAAATGACAACATTCAGACTGGTTAAAAAGTTGACTTGTTTGGAGAAATGGAGAAGTAAAAACTCTACTGACAAAAAATAGATTACCAGAAAAATACATGCATTCTCTAGCTTGTATAGATATGACTATATACTGTCATAAAGACATAGATAACGAGCAGGCTCTGAAAGAATGTTTACAACTGAAAAATGTTTTTATTTAAAATAAAATTTACTACAGTCATAAAGTACAACCATTCTATTGATATAAGGAATTGCACATGTGGGAGATTCAGAATGTACAATTCTTTTAGAACGATATACTTTAAATGCAGCCCAAAACTCAGATAAAAATACCTCAAAAGCTGTTGGAATTTGTCATGAACAAACAGCTCAAATTAGCATGGAAATATCTTCAACTAGTACATTTTCTCAGGATATTAATAGAGGTGAAATTTCTGAAAGCCCTGACATTCACAGCTCGAATGAAAAGTCATGGTAAGACTTTACAGTCTTGGTATGCATGAGAATATAATGGTAAGTCCAAAAGGAGAAGAAAATGATAGTAAGATGAAGAATAATATTCTTCTGATTTTACATATGCTAGAATAGAATAGAACAGAACAGAACAGAACAGAATAGAATAGAATAGAACTCAATTCAATTCAATTCTTTATTGGCCAAGTGTAATTGAACACACAAGGAATTTGTCTTGGTGCAAATTTCAAGGTAACCCATTTATCTACATATAAATACACATACATACACAGTGTATGAGTTTCAAATCTATATAAAGTGTCTTTGCTTATTTACTGTTTTGTTACTTGTTGATTTCTGTTTTGGGGGGGTTTACTGTAAATTATCTATGGATTTTTAAAAATTAAGAGCAGCATGGATATATTTGAAATACAAGTAGTCCATAGGGAGCTTGGGGCGGGGAGATTGTAACTTTGAATGGTCATTAACCAACCAGTTGTTAGTCAAGGGCTACCTGTAAATACATAAATTAAAATAGACACCTTATATTACACTGAAATAGGCTTCTACAGAAAAGGACATTCCACTGGTTGCCTAGTCAAAAGGTTAAGAATGCACGAGAAAAGGAAGTAAATGCAGTCTCTACCTTTTCCCAATTCTTGTCTCTGAATTGCTAGGTAGAGTTATTCTTATTTAAAATTTGTTCTATTTGAGGGTTCTTATGGATTAGGGAGAAAAAAACTGTACACGTGGCAACTTCCATATTCACAGTTCCTTATTTAGCTAGAGATTAATGCTGAAGACTGCTACTTATGCTTGATTTTCAAACATGGCCTTTTATAGTCATATACATAGAATTGGTTATCATCATGCAAAGTGAAATTCACAGCTAATTCATTGATTTTTTCCCCACAAAATTGGTAAAATTCACAAGTCTTTATATATACCATGTTTCTCATGTAATAAGCCTGGGCCTTATTTTTTTTTGAGCCCCGAAAAAATGGCTAGGATGTCTTTTCGGGGGTGAATTAATTTCTCCCCCCATGCACCCTCGCACTACCAGCAGCTATGCCTCGCCACCAGCCACTCCTAACAGCCAATCATGGTGGAGCGTTTCAGCCACTTCTCAGGTAGGGGAGCCACCTCCGTAACTTCCACAGCTCCGGCCGCTGCTGCCACTGTTGTTGGAGACGGCACTGGCAAGAGAGGAACAGCTGCAGCTCGGCCTGGGCTCTTGGAATGCAGGAACGGGCTGTGCACCGGGACTTTTAGAAACTTGCAGAGCCCGAGGCTGGAGCACCAAGGGTAGCAGCAGCAGAGACGCTCACTCGGCTCTTCTCACGCCCACCCAGCCACTTGGGATTAAACCAAAACGCAGCGTGCGGCGCTCCCAGGTACCTCAAAAAATTTTTTTCCCTGTTGTTACGGGAATGGGGGAAAAGTGGGAGCGACTCAGACGCTGTTGGAGAAGGCGCTGGCGAGAGAGGCGCCAGCACTGGTGGGAACCGTGGAAGCTACAGAGGCCTGAGAAGCGGCTGAAATGCTGCTGGCAGACATCCACGCCAACGCCGCCCACCTGCTGACCCGGGTCTGCAGCAAAGGCGCTTGGTCGGGGTAAGGGAGCCCTCCATGCTCCGCCATGATCAGCTGTTAGGAGCGGCTAATGGCGAGGCGTAGCTGCCCGCGGGGCGCTATTAATGGCAAGTTCCCCCTGCCTTCCCCCCGCAATTTCGCATGTTTTAAAATAGGCCTAAATTTGGGGGGAGGGGCTTAATTTCATTTTATGCCTAGAAAACATGCTGGGTCTTCCTATGGGGGGGGGGCATATTGTTGGAGAAACACAGTATATATATGTATTTCAAGTCAGTCTTCAGCAATTGCCTGGACAAGTTCTAGCAGTTTTCTAGGTAAGATTTCAGAAGTGGTTTGCATTTGCCTCTTTTCTGCAACAAAATGAGTGAGTGGCTCAAGATCACCCAGTTGGCTTTCTGCCTATGGCAGAAATGAGTTCACAGTCTCCTGGTTTCTAGCCTGATGCCTAAACCACTACACAAAACTGGCTGTCTCTTTACATATTTACTATGTATTTTTTCTGTTTTCTCTGAACTGATAAGAGGAATACTTTAGGGAAGATTCCAATAAAATAAGAATTAAATCCATAAATTTATTATTATTCCAGAATTTGTTTTTATTAAATTCCAACAGGCCACTGAATATTTCAAAATTATTTTTTCTTTTCAGGGAAGGCAACAGAAAATTTAATTACTTTTTAGAGAACTATCCTCTAGTGTTTTATCTCAAAATTTGTAAATATTTTGTAAATATATTATGTTCATTATAATATACCATATAGTAGTTCTATAGACATTGTTTCTTTTGAGAAAAGCATAATAATTCACTTTTTAATTTAATAAATATTGAAAACAGAGAATCTGGAAGTATGTTGCAATATGGAAAAAGAGAAAGAAAAACAAAATTTTACATCAGATGTACCTTTCCAATCAGTTGCATTAAAAACTGTCCAGACCAAGTATAATGGAAATTGTCAAAATGCCAATTTGGGTTCCGGCAATAATGTGAAGAATGTTTCTTCAAGTAATACACAGTTCAGTCAAATTGAAGAACAGCATACACCACGAATCCTAGGTAAGCAATAAATAAATACATGAGAATTGACAAACCGATGTTCAAGCTAAATAAAACATGGCTATTATTAATTTAACTTGATTAATTTATCTAGCTTGAACCTCTATTTATTAATGATCCTCAGTTCACAAAAATAAAGTCAGCTTTTCTGGAGGACATTGTATTTTGTCGGAGGACTAAATTCATAGCTTGAGGATTATAACAGTCATTTATAATAAAGACTCAGATGATTTCTGTGACATAGAGCACCTTTTACCAACTTAGGCTGGGTTCGAGCTGTTGTTCTGGGAGACTTGACTGCAATAATCTATGTTCAATTGCTTACTATCTGGATTACTGTAATGCATTGTAAATCAGGTTGTCACTAAAAACATTTTGGAAACTAAAGCTGATGCAAAATAATGCATCAAGAATTGTGAAGAGTTGATTTAATCATATTACATCACTCCTGCCCTGCTTGGACTGATTCCCAGTTCATTTCTGAGCCCAATTGAAAGTGCTAGTTTTGACTTATAAAAGTCTTCATGGTTTATCACTTTGATAATTGATGGAACAATACTTCTCAGTTTTATGCCCATCCAGACCTGTGATCATTTTAGAATCATCTCCATGATACATCCTTATTTTATTGTAAAAGTTGAAAGACAGTTATTAGAGAAGAAGTCTTTTTAAATGTGATGCCTTTTCCAATATAATGTTACCCACCATTTTGTTAACTGATAGACTTTCTTGTTCTCCCCATATTTTAATTTGTTAGTAAAGTGTGTAAATGAAAGCATACCAGATTGATGGCTGCGTAGTTTCCAATTGAACAAATCCACTGTCAAAGTATTTTGCTAATAGGACGTTTCTTCTAATATTCAATTGGAAAATGCTTCAATTCTTGAAACTGAAATTCATTTATTTGTATTATGGACTCTGGAATGAGAGAGAAGATCTTAATCTGCTATGTGCAGTTATTTCAGCATGTAAAGAATATTATCACACATTCTTCAGTCAGCTTTTCTTTTTTTAGAGCATGCAAAATTTACTGAAAAAATATTATGATAAATTGGTGGAAAGCAGCATCCATAGAGGTCAAAGAAAATAGCAGGCCTTCATTGGTTTGTATTCTAGTGGATGGGTTAAAAAGGTTAAAAGGACGTTTTGTGAATACGAGGTTCCCTCCTGACCACCATTTGTCAGAGTTGTATAAGCTCTCTCAAAATTTTAAACATGACTACCAGTTCAAAAAGATTGGGGACCTCTCATACAGCTTCTGGTAACAATTTACTATTTCTTTTATTTCAGATTCTTCACAACCTAGGAAAAAGACTAAAACAATTATTAGTCATCTGCAAAGTACTACAGCAACTACAATAAATAAGAGAAATGCTAAAGGAGAAACTCATTTGCATTTAGCTTGCAAAAAAGGAAAATTACCTTTAGTGAAATCTTTGATAGCCTCTGGAGCATGTGTAAATCAAAAAGATAATGCAGGTCTGGTATTTTAACCACTAGTTGAAATTTTTTCTGCTAAACTGAAGCTCAGAAATGATGTAATAATTTCTAATTACAGCTGCTTTTCTTTGCTGTTATCAGAGTTAAACAATGTCTAACAGTATAATTAGTTAATGTGGGACTCTGTTGTAATATTTATTTGATCAATATATTTAAATGAAAAGATAGTCTTTGATTAATTACTCTGTGTTTAGAGACTGTTCAAAGTTACAATGGCACTGAAAAGTAACCTTTTTGTTCTGTAATGTTTATTAAAGATATTGATTACAATAGTAAAAACTAATAGCAATAGCACTTGGATTTATATATTGTTTTATAGTGCTTTACTGCACTGTTTGAGCAGTTTACAAATGTCAGCGTATTGCACCAACAATTTGGAGTCCTCATTTTACCAACCTCGGAAGGATAGAAGGCTGTGTCAACCTTGAGTGGTCAGGATAGAACCCCTGACAGCGGGTGGGTTTCTACCGGTTCTGTCCCCCTCTGTAGAACCGGTAGCTCTGAAGAGCAGCAGACAGAACCGGTTCTATGTCTGCTGATGTTTTTGCCCACCCACCCACCTGGGCTGTGACCTGATCTTTATTTCCTGATTTTTCAACTTCAGCTGCCGAACGAGGCACAGCTGCAGTTAAAAAAACAAGAAAAGGCTGTTTCAAAGGCTGCTTCTCAGCAGCGGCGGCGGCAGCAGCGTGCTAATGATGTGCTAATGACGATTGACAGGCACGCGGCTCACAGTGGGCAGGGAAGCCATAAATCCCAAACCGGTTGTTAACCCTGTCGTATCCCACCCCTGCCTGTAATAGTGCATTCTAATCACTACGCCACCATGGCTCTTAATGCAAACTAAAAAAGAAAAGAAAAGAAAAAAGAATAATGTGGGAGAGCAACCATCCCAGATGGAAGGAGGGCTCAAGCGAGGGATCAGCCTGGAATCAGTACATAAACACAAGAGGGCTAGCTCTGGTCAGAGCTAGACCTCCTCTGGAATACCTTAGAGCTTTATCTAGTCTTTCCCAGGAGAAAGCTGCCAGGCTGGGGAGATTCCTTTATTATAGGCAGAGAACACTAAAGTAGCTACTTTGAACTCTACATGTCTGGGTCTGGTTGTTTGGACCTGACAGATAAGAAATAATAAAAAGTAGAAGGAAAACCAAAAAAAGAATAAGATAAAGAAATATATAAATATTGATTTCCAACTTTCATTACAACAAGCATGGACAAATTCAGGAACTTTTCATTCCCTATAAGATTAAAGATATCTCTCCAACCCATATCTCATCCTTTATAAGCAAATCCATACAATATTAATTTTTCAATCCTAGTATCAGCAAAAAGTCTATAAAGAATTCAAAGAACTTTGCAAATACCTTATTCTAATCTTGATCAAGTAAACTAACTTTATACAGGTAGTCTTCAACTTACAACTACAATTGAGCCCAAAATTTATGTTGTTGAGTGAGAATTTTGTTAAGTGACTTTTTGACTTTTTTTGTTAAGTGATTTTATGACTTTTCTTGCCACATTTGTTAAGTGAATCACTGCAGTTCTTAAATTAGTAATATGGCTGTTAAGTGAATCTGGTTTCCCCATTGACTTTGCTTATCAGAAGGTCGCAATGGGATCACATGATTCCAGGACACTCCAACAATAATAAATGTGAGTCAATTGTCAAGCATCCAGATGTAAACCACATGACCATAGGGATGCTGCAATGGTCATAAGTGTGAAAAATGATCATAAGTCACTTCAGTGCTGTTGAAAAAACAGTCAATTTCTTTTGTGTATCCAATAAAGTATATTTTTCCAAATAATTCTCTAGGCCTATGGCTTATAGTTCCACTTTTGGTATTTTCTCCGTCTTGTCAGATAAAATTTGCTCCACACCTGTATCATTAACTGGATCATTAATCTGTTTGCAACTTTCTTAGATGAAAATCTTACTTAGCTTTATAGATAACAGTTTTAAAATGGTTGATAGGCAATTTCCAAAATGGATTAGAAACTGAGACTTGCAAATTTAGGTATCCTTTAAAAGATTCTGTTTTTGTGAGCAAGATGTTTAATCTTCTCCTGGTGCTGAAACCCACAGACAACCACTAACCTGCAGTCTCCTTATAAGGAGCAGCCATCTGGAGCCCATGTGGTCACTCTCCTTATCTAGATAACCAGTCTACTCACTTTTTTAAAGTCTTTGCCGAGGTCATGAGCTTGCCATGTCTCCCTTAGATGTCCTGAAAAAATGATATTATGATTGGCTTTTGGATTGATGGCTGTTGAGGCATCTTCATGGTCACATGTTCATTTGGGATCTTCACAACCATTTGGGATCTTCACAACCAGCTTCTAACAAGCAAAATCAATGTAGAACCCAGCACTGAAATCACAAGTTGCAGTCATATCTCACTTAATGACCATGTTGCTTAGCTGTGGAGCTGCTAATCCCAAATGTGATCAGTAAGTGAGGACTGGACTACCTACTTCCCTCTGCATATGGTATTCACAAAGTCCCTTTTCTTCCTGATACAAATTCTACAATCTCAGAACAGGTTATGCAGTTCTTTGAGTTCAAGCTAATATGATACAATTTTAAAAATATTATCTATGTAATGGTTACATATATGTGTGAAAAAAATATGTGATTGAAGCATAAATTCAGTGTCATGCCTGAATTTGCTTTTACTAGGTTGGACCCCAATTCATGAAGCTTCTATCAGGGGATTTACTGAGATTATTGCAGAATTACTAAAATCTGGTGCTGATGTAAACAGTAAAAGCTTAGATGGTGTTTTGCCCATTCATGATGCTGTTTCAGGCAACCATTTTGAGGTATGGCGCTAACGAGACTTTGACTTAATGCAGGATTTTCTATTTGGTTTCAGACCCTAGTTTCATTCCTTTTTAAGAAGGACTTTGATTTAACAAAAGTAGTGGGAGGGAAATATGTAGCAGATGGTATGTATAAATGATTCATAACCAAGTATGCAAGGTCCTGATTTCTAATGTCTGAGAAAGTTGGCTTTCGGATACTCTTATTGGAGCAAAAAAGTAAGGTACTGTGAGGCAGGATTCAACTTAATTTTGAGATTTGAATCATTTACTACTACATTATTAATTCTATCATTCAATTCAACTGTTACCATTAATATTCCTCCTCAATTTGCTCAGTGCTGTCATATAATTTGATTTGTTTTAATTAAATAAATGTTTCATTTCACTAAATTCATGCATAAATACATTGCCTGGATTCTCACTGCATGAAAGTAAAATTCAAACAATGTACGAAACCAGCACAGTAGTTTATGAACCATAATTTAAGATATGGTATGTTTTGTAAATCAGTTTTTAGTTATTTAATACAATCTACCATAATGCACAAAATATGAACCTAAAGATTGAATGTTGACTTTGCTATTTCAATAATACATTTATCAATGATTAACTGTAGTTTACTTAACCTAAGTATTTAAGTTCACAGTATATATTAAATAATAAATGTGGAC